ATTTTCGATACTAACATCTAGGAAACTAGGATAGGACATGAGATTAGGACAGGCAAGTCGCTTGATGTAAATTAAGGAATATATATTGGCCTATAGTTCATCTTCATTGTTAGGGCGAGACTATATAATTGCATGTTCTTTGTCCCTGAATGTTTGTCTATAATATATTGTCAAGACTACGTATCCAAAACTATATTTATAAAATTATTTGAAATCTTCGAAATGATACAATCGCCTGCATATATGTTATATATAGAGGGGTTAAAATGAACCTCGCTTAACCGTGAAGAGCAAAACACCACATACATGATTTCCAAGCAATTTAGCAATCGAGCAAGACGACTGATATATATGCTTGTTTTGTTCACATCATTGCAAACCGCACACGCTTCGGTCAATCTTGTGAGAGCATTTGAGAGCTTTCGGACTTTTTTTTCTTCGCAAAAACTATTCACAAATTAAGGTCTGATTTTTCGGTGAACTGTGCTTTTGTTCCTGACCTTGCATGCATGCACTGGTCTTCAGAAACACGCCACAGGGGTCTGTGTTAATTGCACGCGTCTGGTTTAAAGGAAACATAATTGTGTCATCTATATAAAACCTTCATTGCTCGATCTATAAAAAGGGCAAGGGTTGGCTAACAGCAAAAGACCAACAATAGACAACATGCAAATTGCAACCGCACCGGAGACGTAAAAAGCTTTAAACATTATTTCATCGGTAATTACATGTTGATAGCTGTTGAGGAAAAAAAAGCCTATATATCGATCCCCATTACTAATATTATTATTATTATACTGACGATGACTACATGCGATATACGACAACTATAGCTACGATATACTGCCGATAAGATCACTTTCTATAGCTAAATCTTCTGGGGCCGATTGTATATGAAAGCCTTGTTAGTTATAAAGTTTACAAAGTTATACCCATGCAACAACGTGCGATTTTGAAGGGATTGAAAAAAAAAACCCAGTCGATAGCGCTATCCGGCTTTCATACAACCAGCCTCTGTGCTTTTAGAAAGAAAAAATTCAAAGAAAGATACAGATAATCTTGTACACTTCCAAAAAATATCGCCTAGACATAATCTATCATTTTAAAAAGCCGCTTATTTCTTCCTAAATTTGCCCTTAAAAACTAATTCGTGTCATTCAAGATGGCCGCCACGCATAAGCCTTTTTCGTGTAATTAAAACGCTTTAAAACTAATGTTATTTACGAAATATTGAAACTATATTTTACCTCGTGTACGTAGGGGAATATATTTGCTTTACTGGCCAAATTAAGGCTATAAATATATTATAGTTGATAAATAATTTGACAAATTTATATAAGCCAGACGCGATTGAAAAGTGCAAATTCGTGCATGCAGGAGATAAGAAACTGCACGAGTCTATGAAAGGCAAATAAACAAAACTCATTTCCAAAACTATATACCAAGACGTCAAATATATTCTCGATCTTTTGTGAATCACAGAATTTCTTGTATACCAGGGGCCGGTTGTTCAAAAGCCGGTTAACGGTAACCCAGGGTTAAAAATGCCTAACCCAGGGTTAAATTTTAAACCTTGGTTGATTTGCGTTGCACAAAGCTCGGTTAGCGTTAACCCTGTGTTAAAATTGACAAAAAAATTAACCCTGCTAGCTAGGTGGGTTAACTTTTTAATCCTGGGTTAACTTCGATTCAAAATGGATGAATAAGGAGCTGAAACACGTAAACACGTATAATTCGTCATGAATTAAACACTTTTGAAAGGTTTTACGAATAATTTCGACAGCAAAGAATTATTTAAGTTTGACTTCGTTCGATTTCAGCTGATGTATTGATTTATTTATCTTCGCTTCAATGCAATACACGATGAATGAATACAACCGTACAAATTGAAAGATCGTAATCGAAATATTTGTTTCGCATACCAAAATTTGATTCTTTTGATTGGCAGCAAGTGGTAAGGCTACGTTTGTTCCTGAATTTGAATAATCAAAGAATGCCTAAAATTTTCAAAATAGATTGTTTATAATATGCATTGCTTAATTTTGCTTCACATCGCGACATTGTTTATCATACAACATTTGCGAATTTCGAATCTTTCTAAAATTGCATGCACGGAAATTGCGGTTCAAAACAACGTCCCTTCGACCCTGCCCTCACGGCATATAATCTTTCGACTGACAATATATCCTCGTCGGGTAAAGTTTTGCCGCTCGTTTATTGACCAATTGAAAACGTTCTTATATCCAACTTAGTCGTTAAAATACATTTAATCTTAGGTTAAATATTTTAACCCTGGGTTAACTAACCCTACCGCTAACCCAACTTTGAACAACACAGTTTTAACCCAGGTTTAGCTAACCTAGGGTTAAGGATTTTAACCCAGGTTTAGCACTAACCCAGGGTTAAATTTAACCTGCTTTTGAACAACCGGCCCCAGGTTAATTATGTACTTATATTTAAAAAGCCCACATGCTTAAAATAAAGGGCCCATGCATGCATGCTTTTGGGTCATGCCACACTAAGCCATCATTTCTGGAGCTTAATTTTAGCGTCTTGAAAATCTTCAAGAAAGACGAGCATGCATATGTCACTCTTTGATTATACTGTACTATTATAATTAGATTATAAAAATATTATAAAATATTATATTATATATATAAAGTTTACGGGGATATAAACTTGATATTGAGCGCAGCTTTTATCAACATGTGCTGTTCTCAAGTTAAGAGTAAAATAGCCTGCGGTAAATTGCATATATACAAACACAACGTGAATTTTTCGGTTTTTAGAATTACGTTAATGATTTGAAATATATCCCTGGTATACATAAGGCGTCGTCATACATTTTGGCTAATTTTCGACTCTAACATCTAGGAAACTAGGATAGGACATGAGATTAGGACAGGCAAGTCGCTTGGTATAAATTAAGCCTTTTAAGGTATATATATAGCCCTGTAGTTCATCTTCATTGTTAGGACGAGACTATATAATTGCATGTTCTTTGTCCCTAAATGTTTGTCTATAATATATTGTCAAGACTACGTATCCAGAACTATAAGTCTATATTTATAAAGTTATTTGAAATCTACGAAATTATACAATCGCCTGCATATATGTTATATATAGAGGGGTCAAAATGAATTTTTCCCGCTTAACCATGAAGAGCAAAACACCACATACATGATTTCCAAGCAATTTAGCAATCAAGCAAGACGACGTCTGATATATATGCTTGTTTTGTTCACATCATTGCAAACCGCACACGCTTTGTTCAATCTTGTGAGAGCATTTGAGAGCTTTTAAATATTTATTTTCTTCGCAAAAACTATGTTTACAATGGTCTGATTTTTCGGTGAACTGTGCTTTTGTCCCTGACCTTGCATGCATGCACGAGTCTCCAGTCTTTCAGGAACACGCCACAGGGGTCAGTCATAATTGTGTCATCTATATATAAAACCTTCATTGATCAAAAAAGGGCAAGGATTGATTATATAATCGGCCGGCAAAAGACCAAAAAAAAAATTGCAACCGCGCCAGAGATGTTTAACGTAAATAAGCTAAACATTATTTCCGTATTTGATCGGCAATTGTTGATAGTTGTTGAAGAAAACGACGACTGCATGCGATATACACGCCGCCGATGACATGTTGTAATGTTGTAATGCACTTTCTAAATCTTCTGTGCTTTTAGAAAGAAAAAATTCAAAGAAAAAAATCGCCTAGATGCAGATAACCCTGTACATTTCCAAAAAAATATCGCAGGGACATAATCTATCATCAAAAATCCGCTTATTTCTTCCTAAATTTGCCCTTAAAAACTAATTCGTGTCATCCAAGATGGCCGCCACGCATAAGCCTTTTTCGTGTAATTAAAACGATTTAAAACTAATGTTATTTACGAAATATTGGAACTATATTTTACGTCGGGCACGTAGAGAATTATATTTGCTTTACTGGCCGTGCCAAAGGCTGTATAATATATATATTATAGTTGATAAAGAGTTTAACACATTTATATTAAGCCAAACGTGATTGTAAAGTGCAAATTCGTGCAGGAGATAAGAAACTGAATCTAGGAATCGCAGATAAACAAAACTCATTTCCAAAACTATACCAAGTGAATCACAGAATTATTTGTATATAGTTAGGTTAATTATGTATGTTTAAGAAGTCCACATGCTTATAATATAAAGAGCCTTGCTTTTGGGTCATGTCACACTAAGCCATCATTTCTGGAGCTCGATTTTAGCGTCTTGAAAATCTTCAAAAGACAAGCATATATATCACACTGAGGGTTTTTTATGGCAATTGACGCTTGTATACATGTATATACTTCACATTAACAAGCGTAATGACAGAGCAATGTTTATAACAACCTATAAGCTAGTGTGGGGATTGCATGCAATATACCCACTCAAATGTCAAGGTTTATTCTTTATCTCCAGCAGTATATCTGCATATATATTCTATCCTAGCTTATACGCTATCGAAACACATGTTATTAAACAATTGTTTAAAAGAATCGAACCACCAACACACTGACATGCATAATCTCTGCCACCAACAAGGCAAGGACATGCACTGGCGGAACAATTCAACAATCGTTTCGTGAACACATTTTCCTGGGAGACAAGAGGTTTTTTCTTTTACATCACTTTATTTGACCTAGCACATGCGATAACGCGTTAGAAAGTACTTGACTTAACAACTGAAGCATGCATTCAATGATGCGTGCGTCATTATACGCGTTGACACTGACAGTCAACCTGTAGAGCGAAGTTAAGTGTTTAACGTGCTGAAGTCACTCAAAATGTTGCATGAACGCGTTATGATAGGAACAAAAATTCTGCGATTTACGGCATAGCCCGAGTTACGGCGTGCATACTTTTCGTCGCACGTCATACGAAATGAGCACCTCGTCTTTATCTTATTCGTCATGATGTGCAACCATGCTTTAAATCTTAGAAACCACGTAAAAACAACGTTGTTCTCCTCCATAGGCAGACGTATCTCACAGTCGTTCGTCTCTTTCAAATACAGTAACCAGTTTGAGAAAAGCACAGTTTAATTGCCACAAAGGTTAGTATATAAATTAACGACTATATTAAGCTGAAGAAACCTTTAATAAAGAGAATGTATATACTATATAGACACGGTCTGTGATGGCTAATATTGATCGTACAAGGAAAAGACTTATTGTTATTTCTATTTATACATTCTGAACATGCATATGCAGTAGATTAGCGATTTGCGAACTTCTACTTTTGTAAGAATTTGCCAAAACAAATAAGCGTCTAGAAAAACTAACAAATCGTTGATCGTTCTTGAATCATAATATAAGAAAGGTATATATGTATATGTAGGATATATATGAATAACAGAAAAGGAACAATACATCAACAAATCCAAATATAAGACTATATTTTTGTTTTAAAGCTGCATTTTGTGTGCACGTTGAACATTGTTTTACGTTGTGGGTGCAACAGAACTGAATATATGTATACCCTGAATATATATATGTAACAGAACTGAATATATGCAACAGAACTGAATATATGTACCCTAGTACAAGTTTATATGTGTAAGGACCAATATATAGTGCAGGTATTGCGGTTATAACTTAGGATGAACCAATTTAAACGTGATGGTGCAGTGTAGCTGGGGTAGTATTTTACAAAAAAGCTGGCAAAACTACCTGAGAAAGATATCTCAAACGTAGTTGTCCTGTGTATGTAGTATTCTACAATAAGCTGTCGTTGTTTGGGCCTGAACTACCTGAGAAAGATATCTCAAACGTGGTGGTTCAGTGTAGGTAGGATTCTACAATAAGCTGTCGTGGTTTGTGTCTGAACTATCTGAGAAAATTATTTCAAACGTAGTGAAACAATGCTGGTAAAATTTTACATTTATATAATTTGTACGAAATTGTGTCTGAATTACTTGAAGAAAATTTCTTAAATAGACGTGCATAGGAGTTGATCATATAAGTATAATATTAAAAAGGTGTAATTATTATTTTAATTCTAGTGTATATATTCATGCGTTTGTAAGCCATGGCTACGATTCTGGAAAGATTTAAAGGGAATGAAAACGCACCCCAATTATTCAACTATAAAACCACAGCAATGGCTGATGGCACAACCTCTGCGTCTGACCGACCGGTCATTAAAGGCGAAACCTCAGAGAGATCCTCCTGTCCCTACACGAACGAGGAAAAAGACAACGGGCAACAGATGAGTGTGAATGGTTTGCAAGAGGAAAAACCAAAAGACAGTCCAGTGAGAAGTCTTAGTCCAGAGTTCTTGCTGGGATCGTCCGAGAAGACTGGAAACGAAGGCACCCGAACAGGTGGGTGGAAACTATTGTTAGAGCCATTGTAAGGTGCTGTTTACATGAGCCCGGTTACCCGAGATTCAACGAAGCGTGAGATGATTTTGAGGTATTGAAATGAGCAGATAACATGATCCTGGCAGTCATATAATCACCACAACAATAGCATGTGCTTGTTTGGTGTCCTAAAGACTTATTTCAATACCTCAAAATCATCTCACGCTTCGTTGAATCTCGGCCAACCGGGCTCATGTAAACAGCCCCTAAACCTTGAAATCGTTAGATCAGAATAATTAAAACCAAATGATCTATTTACTGAACAAATGGTCTGAACTATTTCGATGTAAAAAGGTTAATTTTCAATGGAGGAGCATATTTAATGCATAAAATGCAGGTTCGGTCTTTACAAGATGCATAAAAGTATTTTAAACTTTGGCTTATCCACCGTTAAGCTAAACGCCTTTCGAACAACCGACCCCTGGTAATCTGTTGAAAGGCGGTGACTAGTTGTGAAATAAAAAACCATTTATCGGTCGAAACAACTCTTGAATTATATTTTATTTCGGTTTCAAATTCATGCCAGCGCTATACAGTTCTTATATAACTAAACATAATCACAAAATTTCGAAACGATAAACGCGCGCTGGTTTTATTTATAGTTCGTGCGTGACGTCATGTTACGTCATGTATGTTAAGTACGTCATGTTACGTCAGTATATACACTGTATTTTCTTCAGGTGAAACAGAGAAGTCCACGGCGATAACTTGTGTATTCTGTAACGAAACCCTGGCAGACAACACGGCCCACGAGGAACATACACTCAGGAAACACTACGGCAGCGACAAGAGACTCTACGATTGCTCTGTGTGCGAGAAGCAATTCACTCATCGCAGCAGCCGAGATATCCATCTCCGAGTTCACACCGGTCAGCGACCATACGAGTGTGAATATTGCAAGAAACGTTTCCGCGTTTCCTCGCATCTGCGTGACCACGTTAGAACGCACACGGGTAAGCGTTAGCACGTAAACGCCATGCAAATAATTCATTCGTGAAACAATGTAAAAAAAAAAATTCTTCAAAAAGTGGTCCGATTTTCATTTTCAGACGACTCGCACGTTGCGATTTTCAGTTCAATTTTCTTCTTTTGGCGGATGGAAAGGAGCAAAAGTTATGAATGTTCTTATGCACAAGTGTCCTTATGTGTACATTTGTAACTTATTCACTCGTTCGCATCTTTCAAAAGGAGAAAGTCGCACATAATATCGCAGTCAAAGTTTTAACAGGCCTTTTAAAAGTCTGTCCTTTTTTTAGGAGAACGGCCATTCAAATGTGAAGTTTGTGGACGAGGATTTAAGCAGTCAAGCGATATGAAAAAGCATAAAAAAACTCACTTTAAAACTGTGTCTGCCTCGCAAACAGCCAAGAACACTGAGGCGTCGTACATGATCGTAAGACCCGAGTACAATACGGCAGTGAACGAGCACACTTCGAACGGTCTCCGATCACCGACCGACCAACGACAGAATCTCAAATTAGTCATTAAGAGGGAACGAAAGCCAAGCGAAATGAGGTCACCGACAAATGTAAACGGGGAAAAAACCTTACCGGGTAACAGTACTCTAGGGGAAGAAAAACCCTTGATCAATACCGTATCGGGTAACAGAAGCCAGTCGGTGGAAAAACCCTCCGAAGATAGTACCCCAAACTATAACTATTCCATTGAGAATACGAATTCAGAGAATATCGCATCAGCAGAGAACAACTTGCCAAGGTTCTCCCCGGCAAAGCTCGCGATTAAACGAAAGTTGGATAGCAATTCTAAGAGTCGTGCCAAGAACGGGTACAAAACTACCCCCTACCCATCCATGGCTAGTGGGTTTGGTCATATTTACACGTCATCTGGTTTATATTATAATCCACAAGAATCTCCGATTGTGTCCACGCATAATCCGGAGCCGATTTACAATGACGCGCAAGTTAAGCAGAGCAAAGCACAGACGTTCAATTCAGGAAGCATCGCTGTCCCGTATGAGGTAGGGAAGATAAAATTGGTTGTTTATTAATCTATAACACCCTGAGTTACAACCTCAAAGTTTCTGTCATCATACTTGAAATATTTCATCGTCATTTTCTCCGTTTTAAAGAATTTGCTTATAATCTTAAACTTTCGCAGGACGAACAGATGGAGAACAGGATTTCTTATGATCACCAGCCCACGACACAAACACTAATCCAAAAGAGCGAAGTGGGCGAAAACAACGACGTTTTCTGTCAACCCGAGATGAAAAAAATCAAAACCGAGAAACTGTCGCCAAACTCACGCGAGCAGTCGACGCATTGCGACGACTTCTCGACGCCAGTTCACGAGTTGCAAACGGCTAGTTACGAGCAACGGGCATTAAGTCACGAAAAATCGCCGTATAATCACGAACAGGCGATGTATAGCCACGATGAAGCGACATACAGTCGCGAACAATCCAGCAACATTCACGAGCGTTCGACGGGAGGTTACGAGCCGATGACGTACACGTACGAGCAGCTTAAGAAATCTCTAGACTCAACACGAAACGTTGACCACGAACATACGTACAACTGCGATGTAGCTACGACACAACACGAAGATTTGACGAGCAATCAAGTTGACGCCACAAAACGCGCTGACGACAGCTCTCACACGGAAACACAAGCTTTGCCACGCAACGAGACGACGACGGGCATCTCCGAAGGTCAGGTCGATGCCCTTTCAAACGTCAGTGGTGTTGCCATTGGTAACGTGGCCCCTCAACCAGGAGTTACCACGCGAAAGACAATGGCAGTGAAATTACGCCGGGATAAGAATAGAATTGTGAAAACAGCGCGAAAACCAACCAGATTAAGTGGTGAGTTAGCAGTGGCGGTAGTTTAAACCAGTGAGACTGGAAAGAAATTACTATGTTGAATGTTACTTGATAACTCAAAATACAAGTGTGATATTTAACAGGTATTCTGCGAACTCGAGTCGTATATGAGCTGTTTTATTATATACACAAACTTTGTCGCCCTTTCGGTGCATTTTGGTGTGCTATTATCAACTAAAGCTTGGATTTCTATTTCACTCAACTCCCCAAATCTTTCAGCCATTTTGTTTACTTTCTCTACTAGACAGATATGAGCTAATATCTGTCTAGTAGCCAACCAATGAAATTGCAGCATACCTCATATCTGGCGCTTGAGCATATAATAAAAGGGTTTATACAGACTTAAACTGAATATTTGTACTTTTTTTTCACCAGACGAAGGCGAAGATGTGCGATGCAGTGTTTGTGAACAACTGTTCAAAAATCTGGTGGAATTTACAGCACACAAATGCAACAAAAACGCCAAAGCATTTAACTGCACGATTTGCAGCAAGACATTCGCACGACAAACCTTGTTACGACAGCATATGGTTCTGCATCAGGGAAGCAAGAGATTTCGATTTAAATGCAACTACTGCGGCAGAGCGTTCAGGCATCGTAGCCATTTAAGAGATCATGAAAGAATACATACTGGTAAGTGTATTATTCGCAGCTGAGATAAGGTTAGAAAATAATGTTTCCTGGTTTGTCCACCTTCATGAAACATGGCTAGGAAACAATGTTTCCTGGTTTGTCCACCTTCATGAAACATGGCTAGGAAACAATGTTTCCAGGTTTGTCTAACTTCATGAAACATGGCTAGGAAACAATGTTTTCTGGCTTGTCCACCTTCAGGAAACATGGCTAGGAAACAATGTTTCCTGGTTTGTCTACCTTCATGAAACATGGCTAGGAAACAATGTTTCCTAGTTTGTCCACCTTCATGAAACATGGCTAGGAAACAATGTTTTTTTCTGATTTGTCCATCTTCATGAGACATGGCTAGGAAACAATATTTTCTGGTTTGTCTACCAGAATCCTCCTTCAATAAATAACAGCAGAACATTATTTAACAGTTTTTAATTTAAACCTACAGGAGAGCGTCCCTTCAAATGCTCATTCTGCCCGAAGGCTTTCAAACAATCCAGTGACCACAGAAAACACGAGAACTTACATACGGGCACTACAAGATACCGCTGTGAGAAATGTTCGCTGGACTTCAAGCGCTGTGACGCGCTCAAAAGACATGCGATGATGCACACAAAAGGGGAGGTTACACTGCTCAAATGTGAGAAATGTCGAAGTCTTTTTGCCACAACGGATGGACACATGTCTCATGTCTGCCTGAAAAGACGTAAGTAAATAACTTGATTTTGTACAAATATTTCACGATTAAGCATGAACTAGAAAGAACAACAAGGCAGGGAATTTCATTTTACACCAATCAGCATATTTGTTTACATTTTCTGTAAGCCAATCAGAATGCGTAAATCTTGACTACTTCCGGCTTTATACTGACATGATATATTTTCCTTTTAGCTTATCGTTATCGGTGTCAGATATGTCCCGAGCGTTTCACGGACGCCGACGACCTCCGCCGACATTGTTACAACATGCACGGAGAGCAGTCGACACTGTCTTGCTTGAAATGCGAATTCTGCAAACTGGAATTTAACAGTTTGGAAAAGCTCGACGAACACTTGGGAACTCATCGCCTCAAGAAGACACACAGATGCCGAACTTGTGATCAAAAGTTTTCTCTTTTGAACCAACTTGTCGAACACGTGAAAACGCACAGCACGGCCGTCAATGAATCTGTTCCAGCATTTGACGGAAGCGAGGTCAAAATGGCAGATGAAATTGCCGAAAGGGAAGACCCAACCCAACCCAAGGAGGCTTCACCTAATGTGACAGCAACCACTCAAGCCTCGAACGAACCAGCAAGACGCAAATTCGATTTTATACCAAGCAAATACCAACCACTTGTTCATACAAATACCGGGTATGGTGGCGGTGAGCTACCTGTGGGGACCTGGGTCCCACCTCACTCGTATTATCTTCAGTTGCACCCACGGGACAACAGCGTCCCACAACAACAAGCCGAGACCCCACCGATATCGCCACGTCATCAAACGGTCTCTTCGCAGCAACACACTCCGATATCGCCCCGACAAATTCCGATGTCTTCACCGAATGATCCAATCTCGTCTCGAAGCAACGTTGAAACTCGTCGGAAGAATTTAGACATTGCCAACAACAATAATCCGATTTCTTCCCGAAGTACGTCGAAACACTACCGAACGAACGGCGAACCATCCGAAAAGCCACCAATTTCTGCCCGAAGTGATGTCGATTACCACCGACCGGATGCGGAGCATACTCGAAGTATTCCGGAACGCTACGAAATGAGAGCAGAATCTTCGGAAATGAGTTCGGTGCCTGGCAGCAGAAGTGCGGGAAAACCCGAAGTGAAGCCGGTGTCTTCCGAAAGAGATACGATTCCAGCCCGAACATCCACGACTTCCAGTCCGAACATCCACAAAACAGATAGTGAATATGCCAGAACTAGCCCAACGATAAATGCGTTTGAAGATGCATTTTCGTCGACATCTTTTGCAGCATACCACGCCATCGCTCTGTCAAGATCGATGCATAAAACCGATTATAGCCGGCGAAAGTCGAGCCGTAACGAAGCGATAATATCCCCGTCCCCAAAATCACAGACCAACTTCCACAAAGCATCACCTCGCAAACAGAAAACAGCGTCTGCTAGATCCATTTCCACCATTGAAGACAGCCGCTTCGATCCCTCTGAAATTCACAATAATGTAGATCCCTTGGAAGACCTCATAAGACCCGAGGAGGGTCGAAGATATAGCGACGACAGCCGACTACAATCCGAGGTGATCCTTAGAAGAAACGAGCATATCCCAATGCATTCTGAAGAAATCCAAATCAGGGCAGATAAATACCGAAGTGATGACGATATCACGATTGTTTCCGAAAGGATCCGAAGCAATTCCGGGAGCAGTCAAAATCGACCAATCAATTCACCTCGCCAGAGAACCGAAAGCCGCTCAGCTCAAACTCAGGCGGACGTAAAGCGCAAGTACACGTGCCTAAACTGTAGGTCAGAGTTTTATCACGAGAGCGCGCTTGTAGATCACGTGTGCGACATTTTCTCAGAAACATTATATTCTTGTCTGGTGTGCAAGGACGATTTCGAGAAATACGAGGACCTCCAGGAACATATGAGGATACATTGGAGACAAGTGGTGTACCTCAAATGTACCATGTGTGGGCTTCGTCTCAGGTCGGAGGAACTACTAAAGAAACACAATTTGAAACATTTAGAAGACGATCGCACCGAACGAAGCGTGTCTGACGGGGATAAAGATGGGTATCGTAGGCTAAAAGATGACAGATTACTTGATGGTCCACCAGAAACATTCGTTACCCCATCAGGTTCAGCAAAGTCTGTGACATCCCCTGTAATTTGTTCGGTCAGCGGAAACGTTGTCACCAAAACGTCGGCGCTTGCGACAGACCGTCGTAGCTCAGAGACAGATTTTGAACGAACCAATCAGAACGCAGTCTGTGATGACGTCATCTCGAGATCCGGTCCATATATACCATATTATGAAGCGAGGAAGCAAGCACCAGGCTATCTGAACGTCTTAAGCCAGGGTCAGGCTATGGTGATGTCTGCAATGCATGCTGCTATGGAGACCAGCGGTCGCTACCATGTACCTGAAGGTATCATATACCCCACAGCCCTAGGCCGATCACGTTATAAACCCGAACACCACTAACGTTATGTAGCGAATAGAAGAGGTAAAATATGAAATATTGTCCTGCTTTGGCGGGCAATACATCGTAGGATATTGTAAATACAACATACGCATGCATAGTATATAACATAATAAGATATAATTACACTTTCGTAAACTATGAGGGCAAAGTGCAGGGCAAACACGGTGGGTCAAAGATTAAACGAGATTAAGCGAAGTGTAAAATAAACTTGAGGTATTGAAATGAAAAATAAGATGAAGTACCGTAGTCATCTCGACAATAGCGCTTGTTTACACGCCTAAAAACGATCAGGTTGATGCAATATTGATACGAACAGGATGAAACAATGTTGTGCTGCCCACATTGTTCAGAGTTGTTATCAACATTCAACCATATTGTTACAACCGATTCAGTTTCAACATTATTGTTCAATGTTGTTGACTAGTGTGAACAATAATGGCAGCACAACATTTTTTCAAGCTGATAAACCGCAGGCTCAGAGTTTTCAGCCGTGTACTTAGTCTTAGATGAAGCCATATTTTAATACCTCATAATAAGCTTGCCCTTCGTTGAATCTCGGGTAAGCGGGATTATGTAATCATAATTTTCATATCTTCCCCAGCTCTTGAAATATTTTCACACGAAGTAATGAGATGTCCGCCATCTTGGTTGAATTTTTAATCCATAAATACTGTTTGGGTTACGCCACAATAAGGGTTAAAAGTACAATAGATTTAGCGGTTTAATCAGATATTGCTTGCTAGATGTTTTGCTTGGAGATTTTGAAAATGATTTGTGGTTGCGTAAAGAAAACTCAATGCGTTATCCCAAAATAACAAACATCTTTACAAAAATCCAAGATGGCGGACACTTTTTTCGGTCAAAATATTTGTACGAGTAAACATGATATGAAAAAAGGTCAAAAGAATATCATATATAATTTTAAAATTCTCTCAAGAAATACGATATATTTCCTTAAATACTTCGTAAACAAACATTTCTCTTGAATGTCGGTTGCATATAAGTATCCCAACATTTTCTAATCCATGCCGAGTCAAGCTCGTTTGCGATTAAGATTAGAATTTGTAATATAGAATAGCCATTTGATATTTGGGAATCTTTATGGAACTGCAGCCAAGAAAGACGGTTATATCCAGACGTTCATATAGCTTTTAGGATTGTTTAAATCTACTTTAGTTTTGTAGTGTAAATTGTGGTAGCACAGTTCGTTTGGTGTATATAGTTCAGAGGCACAATATAACGTAACTTCATTATATTATCTTTATCGAGCATTACGTTGTATTTTGCGGGCAATTTCAATGGAAAACTTTGTCGCGCTCAGAAGGCGTATTTTCGTCGAATCCGAAACAAGTTTCCATTTGGCCAACTTTATTATACTCGGTGTTTTAGGCACACTACTTTTGGCCCACTCGGGGGACAAAAATATTCAAATTGAGCATATCTACCTAATATGTCATGGTTGTGAATGTCAACGATATCAAGGAATCTGTGTACACAAGTTATTGATCAATCGAACTTGTTCACCCCCCCCCCTTACACACTGATACGAATATGCGCCCGCTCCCCCCTAACGATAACGTAGAATATTTATTCATGAAGCTCGCAGATGCATGAACAATATTTCTTAGAATTCTGACTGAATACTTCGGATAGATACAGACGATTTTGGCGCGCTTTAATATTTTGTATCTAATATTTGGTAGCCTTCACTCCTTGCGTAAAAGCTGCCTAAAATTCCCTGTTTTAAACTTTTCATGTCAGTTAGTCTTCGAGTTAACAAAACGCATGTCCTTTAAACACATATACATATATAATACCTAGGTATAACCCTATGCAACCCTAGGTACACCTCTCTGTACCAATATTCAATATATTATGCAATCAAAAATACCGTGTTTCTCACTTGCTGAGTACATATCACAAGATATCCACACATATCACCACATATCAAAAGACATTCCTCCACCGCGACCACGGCGTGACCCACCACGTCCCCCGCGTCCTCTATTACCACCACGTGACCCTCGAGATCCCCCACCTTGAGGACATTCTCGCGAGAAGTGGCCGTGTTCACCACACTTGAAGCAGCCATCACCCCCTGAAAAAAATATCATCACTATATAGACGTGTAGGAAGCGAGAGGACTGTTACGAGTTTCGCGAAAACGAAGCCAGTCCGATTTTCTCCCGCCAAAAACTAATCAAAAAACATTTTCTTACTTTTATATTTAATAGTTTAGTTATTCAACATACCTCCGCCATTCCGGCGGTCCCCACGCTCGGCATTCCGTTCCCGCCAGGCTTGATAACGTTCGGCCATGCTTCGTAACTCTTCGCTGACTTCCTGTGTATGGAATATAGAAAAAGCATAGAAAAAGTCCTATCTGATAGTTACAACTGAAATGAGCGTTTGAGCAAAATAGCTTCAGTTTAATACAAAACCTAGTGTTTGCATTTCAGTGGAGAATTAAAAAGAATATTTCCACATTTATCACCAGTTACTGCTCCAGTTATATTAGAGCTCAGCAGCTGAGCCACGCGCCTCACAAGTAAGAATGACGTCATCGTTACCTGATTCGCCTCTTCTAAGATATAGATTAAATTTTGGGCTTGTTTCCAGTCTTCACGCGTGATGAAACTCAAAGACGATCCCTTCGAACTGCAGTAAAAAAATGTAACGTCAGTTTCCCATGTTGAATCAAATCACGTTAAAGTTGCAGCATATGGCCGCTAAAAAGTCGATAACTTGCCCACAAGTACAACCAAATAAAAGACACTGAAAACAAACCTACCCAGCTCGACCTGTCCGCCCAATTCTGTGAACATAATCCTCGATAGCTCTGGGAAAATCGTAGTTAATCACATGTCTGGAAAGATACAGTAAAAAGAGATTACATAAAGTACTTCATGAATACAAATGCTCACGATATTAGTGTCATTTTCAAAGAAATATGTGTGTCTATGAGTGTCTTTAAAAATACTGACGAAGCAAAAATTACCACGCTTTTTATGCAGAATTTGTTGAACTTAATAATTTATTTATTTGTATCGTGTAAACAGACGTTTAGAGAGATAAATCCTGAGTAATTCCTCTTTCTTCCCAAGCAAAATATCGTTCCACATGAAATACAACATGTTTCAGTTCGAATTTTTTTCCAGAGGCACCAGAGCAAACTCGCATGAAAACGTGAAACTATTAGCTTACGTAACGCCTTTAATATCGAGTCCTCTGGAGGCGACATCGGTCGCAATGAGCACACGAACCCGCCCTGTTTTGAAGTCATCCAAAGCTTGCTCACGATCACATTGTTCTCTGAAAAAAACACAACAATTTCAAATATCTTAAGCTAAGAAACCAATCTAGGACGTCCAACTAGTTTTGCAGGAGCTGCGGTGAAAGTTTAGTTAAAAAGGACGCCTGGCAATGGGTCAATAAAAGTATGGGCAGTGTTGGGTAATGCACCTCACAAGAAGTATTTTACTGAGTTAAATTTACTCTGTCTTTCTCCAAACAATTTTACTGGTTAAAGAGCAACAATTTCTGGTGAATGGTTGTCACAGCTCGGTCACACATTTGGTCAGTTATCAATTTGCTCAGAAGCTTCCCTCTCTATCCCTCACACCAAGAAGCTTCCCCCCCAACCTAGAAGCTTCCCTTCCATCCCTCCCCCAACCTAGAAGCTTCCCCTTCCATCCCTTCCCCCAACCCAGAAGCTTCCCCTTCCATCCCTCCCCCCGATCCAGAAGCTTCCCCCTCCATCCCTTCCCACAACCCAGAAGCTTCCCTCTTCACCCATCCCCCAACCCAGAAGCTTCCCCCTCCATCCCCTCCCCCAACCAAGAAGACAAAACCAAATGCAAACCGGTAATCGTTCTTGGATGAATGTGAAAATTACCTGTCGCCATGAATACACTGGATACCAGCTGAAACATATTTCAACATGAAATCACTCGCCACGTCGTCAGCCCTATAGTCAGAAATAATTTTTTTTGGACATTGACTTTCGAACGCGGGCTACCGCTGCTGATATATATACATATGGAGATCACTGGACTAAAGATCACTTACGTCAGTTTACGTCCTACGAATATCAAAACTTTGTCTTCAGGTCCCATTGAATTAATAAAGTCCAAAGTCTGAAAATATAAATCAACCCCGTTAACAGTTTAGGTTTCCTCCTGTAGTAACGCTGGATCAATAAGAGTTGATCCTTAGTGGTCCTCTAGGAAGAACAGTTTAGAACTGATAGAGCTATCCAGTATAAATAAAGTTAGTTTAGTTTAGGTTTCCTCCTGTAGTAACACTGGATCAATAAGAGATGATCCTTACTGGACCTCTAGGAAGAACAGTTTAAAACTGATAGAGCTATCTAGTATAAATAAAGTTAGTTTAGTTTAGGTTTCCTTCTGTAGTAACACTGGATCAATACGAGATGATCCTTACTGGACCTGTAGAAAAAAAGTTTAGGACTGATAGAGCTATCCAGTATATGTTTGTCATTGCAAAAACTTACTCGTTCTTTCTTCGCCTCTCCGTCCATGATTTCGACTATTTGGGTCACGGTATGACAAGCCTAGAAATTTACAAAGCAACCAAACTCTTAACCTCCAAAAATCCCAACAAAGATCGCAAAATCCTGTTGTACTTACGGCTAGGTCTAAGGATCCCACGTTGACCTGCACGGGATTTTCAACATACTGACTCGCCATTCTTCGTACAGCTGATGGCCACGTCGCACTAACGGAACGTGGAAAAACGGAACACGGATTACGGACTGTTCATAGACACATGCAAAAAAATACTTCTTTGACTTCTTTGGGAGGATTCTACGACACAAGTGTCGCTTAAGCCACAAAGAATTCAAACATCGAGGCGGAATTAATATAAACACTGCAAACCTTGTCATCACCGTTTGACGATCCGGTCGGATATCAATTAAAATCTTCCTAATTTCTGGTTCAAAACCCATGTCTAACATTCTGTCTGCCTCGTCAAGGACCTAAAAGTTTGTAAAATGAAGGAATACAGTGTGTTTGTGGTGGGGTAAATTTCGGGAAAAAAGGTGGGGGGTGAGGGTGAGTGAAGTACGAGACGGGTGCAGATTTCATATCGAATCAGGATTCCGAATTTGACCGCAGGGACTTTGAGTACACGATTAAGCCTGAATAGTTACATCTTTCTGGAAGAGCAGAGAGTTGTCTCACCAAATACGTGACAGATTTCACTGGAAGAATCTCGTTCATAATTAAGTCGTTCAATCTACCAGGAGTTCCTGAATACAAGAAAAATTGCTCAGAAATTTCACGGGGAAATGATTTCCTGTGTGTTTGAAAAGCTAAAGAAAAGCATCGACTACACTTACCAATAACAATCTCCACACCACTTTTTACTGTATCGATCTGAGCACGTCTGTCTGAACCACCGTAGACGCAAACACTATGAAATCAAATATATAACACATATTGTCTAGCATTCTCAAATACATTATGATTTTTGGCACTTCACTCGATGTAGGTAGCTTGTCCCAGTCCTTTCCCGCCATTTTACATCACTCGGCAACCGTGATATAGTATTATAACTGTACCTTCGTATCCCTTTATAATGAAGTTTATTTACTTCAGTTTCAATCTGAAGAGCGAGTTCTCTTGTTGGTGATAAAACCAGAACATTTGGACCATCAGGTGTGGCTGGTGTTCTGGTAGAAAAAACAGTTTTTAGATGAGATTGACAAATTTCATACAAAACAAAATTTGCCGCCATTTTTGTGCCCCAGATCCAGGGTTCTGATTGGCTACAAGGTCACTGATCTGCATACATTTCATAAAAAAAAATCTTGCCGCCATTTTTGTACCCCAGATCCAGTGTTCTGATTGGCTACAAGGTCACTGATCTACATACATTCCATAAAAAAATCTTGCCGCCATTTTTGTACCCCAGATCCAGTGTTCTGATTGGCTACAAACAAGGTCACTGATCTACATACATTTCATACAAGACAAAATTTGCCGCCAATTTTGCAACTCAGTGTTCTGATTGGCTAGATAGTCCGCCACGTTCAATTCTCAACCTTACACCGTGACCGATACAAGTTTATCCCGAATTAATGGACGAAAGTCTTTGCTTAAGTTCATTCACGATTTGGCAAATGAAAAGTTCGACGTCTGAAACGAACCTTAATTATTCAAAAATTCAGCAATGAATACTTCTCATACCTTTCTTGCCCAGCTATGTGAATCAATGCTGGCAGCAAAAACGCCAGAGTTTTGCCAGTGCCGGTCTAAAAAGATGATGAGAGACTGAATCTTTCTTAAATCAACGACGACAAACTTTCATCACAAAATGGCGGCAACACTGAGAATTTTTGTGTACCTGAGCGATGCCAATGAGGTTTAAGCCGGACAGCAAAACTGACCATGACTGACACTAAAATGACATCAAAAATCTGATAAATCATTCACAATTCCAGTGATGAAAATTCAAAAACAAATTATGAATGATTTTATACGCGAGAAAACATCCGACAAATTCACAAATCAACCTTGTGTTTTCATGGCTGTGTTGGCAAAATTTTTCGGCAATTTTATTAAAATAGTATAATAATATTTTATCAAAAGAGTGTAATAATATTAAAACATTAATGTTATTATATTATTACACTTTATGTTAACAAAATTCGTGAAACATTTCTCGTGTTCAAATTATCAGGCAAATTTGAGTTATTATGGATATCCCGTTAATCTGAATCCCGCTACAAACCTGAATCGGAGTTGGTTTAACAAATCCAACACGTTTTAATTCATTGAGTATAACGGCTGAAAACATGAACAAAAACGTGCGTTATTGGGTTAAGTAGCTTTTGAAAAACTTCCAAGAGATGTAAATTAGTGAGGGTAAGTTTCGTAGTTGCAAATTCACATCTCTCAAAAGTAGGATTGTATTGCAAGTTGCATAAACAATTGCACCGTGAAGCACGGTCGCTACTCAAAAATTGAAGTTGAGGAAAATATTAAATACTGTTTTTACTAACATGTTTACTCACGATAATTTTTAAAGGCCTCGTCAAATGTCGTGACCGGCTTCGGAATGTCTCGGTTCTGAACGTCATCACCGACATTTTGAACAGAGATATTGTTGCTTTCTTTCCTATAAAACACGTTTCCAAGCACAGCGTTAAAAACCTAAAAACTTGTCCATAAAGCAAAATCGCGTCTCGAAAATATGTCCAGTTTCATGCATTGCAGTCAGCGACACACTAAAGAAAGATGCGAGCGCATAGAGATTATAAATAACACTAGAGGGGTCATCGAGGAGAAATTGGGGAGCGCGTTAATGGGGGGCAAATTCAAGTCCCGGATGTTCACTCATTCACGATGTCCGAGGCCAAAATAAGTCGTTTTTAACGAGTTTTTTCGGTTTCTAAATGTTTTTTTGCCTAAAATATCATTTCAGGATGTCTAAATTAGTAAAAACAGTTTCAAAAAGCACTGTTTTTCCTTTAAAAAACCGGCAAAGCGACCTAAATAACGAATATAATTTTTTTAAAATTGTTGCTAACGTGGTTGCTAAGGAGGCATTGATCTAGCCAATCAGCGCTTGGCTTAGCATCCGGGACTTGAATTTGCCCCCCATTATCGCGCTCCCTTTTTTGACTGATGTTTGATGTTTCCATTACCAAAGCCTCCTCTAGTGTTATTTACAATATTATAATTACAATATTTATAATCTCTATGTGCGAGCGTGCGTCACTGACCGCAATGTATAAAACTGGACTCACAAACTTCTGGATTACTATGGTTGCAAAAAAATTTTGGACCGTGGGGCAAATTTCTCTTTAGGGGTCCCAATTCCACAGCAAAAAGTCACAAAAAATGGTAGTTCATGCGACTTGGGGGGGTGGTAAGGGGGTTTAAGGAGATACTCCCCAAGAAATTTTTGAAATTTAGAGAGAGCAGGTTTTCCTGTTTTGGGGAATATAATATACTGCATTATAATATACTGCATTATAATATACTGCATTACGCTATTTATAAAACCCCAAAACTCATTTTCTTTTCATTTGGAAAGAGGACAATAGATTTCCAACAGTAGTGTAACTCTATTCCTGTAGCATTTTGTGGGCCGGCAAAGCGGGGGCCAAGGAGCAATTGTCCTTCCCCCCAACCTTGGGAACCCCAGTCCATAAATAACTGTATATTTACCTAAATATTTCAACTTCCTCTTTGGACCTTCTCCTGACTGATTCACTCTCTTTATAAAATACTTTTTTGATGACAGGTAAACCTTAAATAAAAACTTTAAAAGTCAATGAAAAGGTATAGGCAAGAAGCTATATCTAAAGAATATGTGGCTTACAATCTGTTGTACTTCTATACAGCAAGCAGCTACAATACCTTCCCATTTCTTCGCTTGATTTGCCACCCTGTTCGCACGTAGCTCAGCCCAATCAATTCTGGGAACCAAAGGGGTTTCGCCTGCTTTCAGACTTGTTTCTGCAAATATGCAAAAAATCTCTATTAAAAAGATAGACATTTATTAGAGAGATGTCTGTATTAGAGAGGTGTCTGTATTAGAGAGATGTCTGTATTAGAGAGATGTCTGTATTAGAGAGATGTCTGTATTAGAGAGATGTCTGTATTAGAGAGGTGTCTGTATTAGAGAGATGTCTGTATTATTAGAGAGATGTCTGTATTATTAGAGAGAATTGTCTGTATTATTAGAGAGAATTGTCTGTATTAGAGATATATAAACTACCTTCCATTTTATTTGTCACTAAATCTTGTGGAGATATTATTTCATCAATCATCTCTTTAGCCTTTGCCTGACAGTTTTGACTCCCTGAGATCTCAATTGGTGTGTGGACAGCATCAGCTTCATCTTTCAATATCTTGAAATAGAAGAGAGTAAGTTTCAGGCCTTCAACACAAGTTAAGCATGCACTTGGTTGATTACAAACTTTCCCTGAACCTAGGACTACAATCTTTACAAGAAAGGAGTCATTTCTTCAGACTGACCTTAATCCATGCTCCAGATGTATTCTGAATATTCTTAATGCTCTGGCCACCTCTCCCTATAGCATGGTACAACAGTGAGTACCGAGTAAGTGCCTGTACTTTCCCATTGCCCAGGGGTGTGGGTCTATGGGAGGCAAAGAAGCATAGAAACATATGGTATAAGGCAAGCTAAGAGAAACAATTTTCTAAATAGGTCGAATGGCTAAATACTTAAAGGTCAAATGAGAGGATATTATAACAATAAGTTCTCAAGGTATTTAGATCTTTATCAGAATTTGACAATTTCAGACAATTGCTTGATTATTGGAATCAAATATCAAAACATTTAAAAAAGTTAAAAAATTTAGTCACAGTATGCAAAATCATAGCTAGCATCCATATCATTGCATTGACCTATATCCTTATATAGATAAATCCAATATTTCTCACAATAAGTTTCTCACAATACAGGCTGGTTATTAAAGACCGATATGGTACAATATTTAAATCTACACCGAAACTAACTGAATTGATGTGTAATACCGTGCGCCATGGCTTACCAATAATCTTGCCAACATCCCGACTAGAAACCTCGATCCTCAACGAATCGCCATCATCCTGACTGCCACCAAACACCCCACCGTTACGATCTCGGGATCCGAACCCTCTGGAGGGCGGTGGGCGCTCTTCTCTGGCGGGGGACGATGAATCAAACCCCCGCCTACTAGGCCTCCTGGGCAAAGCGTTATCAAAATCCGAATTACCCCTCCAATTACCTGAGCCATCATTTGATCCCCAACTGTTTGTAGTACGCGAAGATCGTCCGCGACCGAAACGTTTCTCAGGAGCTGAAAATCCGGAATTGTGAGAGTTTGTACTAGATTCAGAACTATGGTCAGTCCATTTCATGGGTTTGGAAACGCCGGAGCTAATCTCCAAATCCCAATCTTCACCGGAGTCACTCATGGTCAAATTTTGCTTTGTGTAAAGACGAAACAAATGTTTAACGACGAACAAAAAGCAAAGAAAACCCCAAAATATTCACTTTTTACAACTTGACATTTTATACAGAAAACGTGTTATGGCGTATGCGCTAAATGGTATCGATGCTTCGAATTAAAGATACTGCTTATAGTATGTCGTGGGCTCAGGTTGTTGTAAATGTAAATGTCTGTTGGCTATTGGTAAAGCCGTGGTACAGTGGCTTCAGTAGATTTGCTGCTGATATATATTACAAGACAACAGACTATAAAACATCCATCAGAAGTGAATTGGATCCAACAAAATTGGATCGTGTGAACAAACCTTGACTTCATAGACAACTTACGACGCCTGACGAGATGCATTTTGGCCTAAATTTAGGTCTCGTCTTTATACTCCGCTAAATCATTGTTGACTCTATTAGAGAGGTACCTGCATTAGAGACATGTTTGTATTAGAAAGAAATGTTGGTATTAGAGAGAAGTCTATATTAGAGAGAGATGCCTGTATTAGAGAGAGATGTTTGTATTAGAGAGAGATGTTTGTATTAGAGAGAGATGTTTGTATTAGAGAGAGATGTTTGTATTAGAGAGAGATGTCTGTATTAGAGAGAGATGTTTGTATTAGAGAGAGATGTTTGTATTAGAGAGAGATGTTTGTATTAGAGAGAGATGTTTGTATTAGAGAGAGATGTCTGTATTAGAGAGAGATGTTTGTATTAGAGAGAGATGTTTGTATTAGAGAGAGATGTTTGTATTAGAGAGAGATGTTTGTATTAGAGAGAGATGCCTGTATTGGAGAGATGTCTGTATAAGAGAGATGTCTGTATTAGAGAGATGTCCATGTTTGCAAATGTCAAAAAACTTTATTATTTAAATTTTTTAAATTTAAGTCACACTTGTCTCTCTTACAACAGAAACAGGAACACTTTGATGGGACGTAATTCAGCAAAGTCTCACGAATTATATAAACCATGCTGCATCTATTGTTTCCTTTAGTTAACTCAAAGTTGCACTATTTCAGACAAGTATTTACTGTGTTTTATGCAGGAAATGTTTGTTCATACTAAATCTCATTAAAGGTAAGTGATGCTTCTGCGTCTTACAACAACAACAGGACCCTTGGGATGGGATACCAGTTTGGAAGTGACTTCAGAGAACCAATGATCTTTAAAAAAGAAGGTAAGAGTCTCCAGCTCGCCGCCTGCTTCAGGGTAGCACAGAATGAAATAGGAATGCTTTTCTTTAACCCAGGTTAAGACCAATATTTTACAAATTTCGTAGTGAAATGCGACGCTGCATACCTT